ATATTTATTTATATTCATTTATTTATTTTTACTCAACGCAAGTACCTTAAAATGTTGCCCATGCAAACAATGTAAAAAACATCAAAACATTTAACCCCAACCCCTGGCACTGGCCACCGTGTCCACCTTGTTGAATTCAGTATGAAAATATGCAAAAATAACTGTGAGAAATATTTCTATTATTTATTTAGTCGCACTTGTATGTGTTGCCGGGCTCATACGTACGAGTACAGCCCAATGATGCGAATGGAATGTGCCCGGAGAATAATTCGTATTGTATATTTTTCACATTTTGCGCAGGGCACAGAGCGGGGCTCCAAAGGACCTTTGTCCATTGTTCAGCCCACAACAAAAATTCAAATGTATATGAATATATATATATATATATATATATATATATATATATATATATATATATATGCATCGTTTAAAGAACTTTATGATTTTGCGCTACAAATTTGAGCAGAGCATTAGAAGATTGTTGCAAACTTCATTATTGATGCATTGGGCGACGAAAAGCATAGAATATTTGTTCATCATGATCTCAGCCACCTCCACAAAATATATACACAAAATTTAATTCATTGATAAGCATATAGAATATTTTAAGAAATATAAATATAGTTATAGTATGTATATTTCTTAGTAAAGCACGCTTGCTTCAGCTCGAGTTGCTCGAACTCGGCATCTAGAATGCTTTTAATCATCAAGCATTCTGATTTCGCTCAAAAATTGTAAAAAACACATTTTGTAAGTATTGTCTGGATTTTTGTATTCATTCACAACTAGTTTGAATTGGCGCTGCGTTCAGGGTATCTACTAGTCGAGAGCGTCAGACTTGAGCACTCTTACTTTGTTTTTATTTGATTTTTTTTTAAATGTTTTGTTTGTCTTTCCAATGATTCATTTTTTGACATTTTCCGAACCGCCTTGTACAACCAGATCTTAACCCCGTCCTATCAATCAGTTGGAAACTAGTTGGTTTCCCTACCAATACATCTGTTGCTTTCTGACCCGCCTCTGTTTCGCATTGTTCGCACTGATCCTCGAATCCTTCTGAACGGAGATCTCTGCAGCACTCCTCAACGAATTGGTTCCTTAGTTCGTACCAGCGGCGCATCTCCAACTTGCATCTCTTGAAATCTGATCCACTTACATGCTCGCAAGTCGGCGCTGCTAAAATTCCAGCAATCAATGTTATTAAGCATAAGCCCAGGTCAAGTTTCATCTTTGACGCGATCGTTGTGCGACGGACCCTGCTTAAAATCGAACTGTTGAGCTGAACAGAACTGAACAGAGAAACTCAACTGAAGCTCACGTTAAAAATGTAAGCATTCGTTAAGTTTCTCTGGATTGTGCAGAGCAGAGAGCACAGAGAGCATATGTTCGTTAAGTTCTCGGCGATCGTTTAGGTTCCACAGAATTGAAGAGTGAGTATTTATGATATTGAAGAATGATGCAAAGTTAATGACAACGCATAATATTGACTTTAATCGCTTTGTTTACTTCGAAAGCATTTATAGTACATACCACTTCAGAGATTATGCGACATTCATTCAATCTTTTATTTATATTCCTATTAAAATAGAAGTATTGGGTTGCGGTCCTTAATTAAAGCTAAGGTGAATTTGACTTTGTTATACCTAGAGCGCATTGAAATTGGGTAAAAGGGGTATATAGGTGCAAATGTAACTGGCATACCGTATAGATTATAGAGTCATCTAGAATTGTCTGGATCTAGAATTTTCTGTCTATCGGTTCGTATGTGTGAAATAATCGATCTCGAATATTAATCTCGATCTACATAGGCTGAAGACTTGCAGTTTCGAGCAAGTTTGTTTTGTATCATCGAAAATCCTGTTTTTTGAGCACATCTAGGATCGTAATAGAACTAAAAACACAAAGCCACCCACAAATTTTAAAATACATACATATTTATTAAGTATGGTCTTGATTGTTTGTATTCATACACATTTGAAGTTTAGATCGGCGCTTCGTACAGGGTATCTCATAGTCGTACTTAGTTTTAATTTGATTTATTTATATTTTTTTTTATTCCAATCAATTTTTTGACAACTGCCGAACCACATTGTACACCTAGAGTTTAAAGCCCTATCAATCGGCTCGACAGTTGTTGGTTTCGATAGCAAAGCGTCTGTTGCATTTTGACGCGCCTGTGTTTCGCATTGTTCGCACTGACCGTCAAGTCCTTTTGAAATCAGATCTCTGCAGCAGTCGTCAATGAATTGATTTCTTAGCTCGTACCAGCGGCGCATCTGGGTCTTGCATATTGCCAAATCTGATCCTTTAACATGATCGCAAGTCGGCAGTGGCAGAGCCAAGAGTCCAGCAATCAATATTATTATGCACATTCCCGTGAAGAGTTTCATCCTTGATGCGTTCGTTGTGCGACGGCCCGTGCTTATTATCGAACTGTTGACTGTAAACTGACAAGTTCAAGTTATTTATATTTACATTGTAAAGTGTAAACACGCTCGCTTAATTACAGAACAGAGACCTCTTTTTTTTTGAGTTCTCCTATCGCAGCACTACACATAACTTATCGCTATTATTATGGAAGATTGCGTTTGCGAGTCTTGAAGCTGTAAAAAAACATAGCTCTATTATTTCTTGGAAAAAGAAATTTCGCGATGCCACAAATGAACTATTTATTTGTTCTGAAATCCAGAGACGAGAATTGATTTTCACTTCCAGAACGCCCGGCTAGTTTATCTATATACTTATGTGTATGTGCGTGCTATATAGAAATATAGGTATATATATTTTTCATTTTCGGTTCGTAGCTCTCAATTGAATCTTGATGCACGTACCCTGGCACAAAGCCCAATACAATTCGGCAGCAACATTGTCGAGTCGAGCACGGCCAACTCCCAAAGGGTGCCAGTCGTTGCCATCCACAAATTCCCAATTCATGGGCTCAAGGCCATAGGCCAGGGGGAGCCCAATGGGTTTTTCTTGTTCTTCTACATTCATAATAATTTTTATTATGGGTCATCGGCCATTTGTTTAACGCACAAATGCGAACAGTGCCTGCAGGGTTGGGGTCCAAGCCCATTTCATTCGGCACATCTATTAGGCCAAATGTATTCTGGCTCTGGACCCTTTTATACCCCAAAGACATGGACTAGGTAAAAGCGGGTTTGATGGAGACTTCATCTCAGTATCTGACAGTGGGAATTGGCACTTAATTCTCAATGTGAATATTTCTCTAAGCTGTATTGTTGCAATAATCCGAAAATTCTATAGAATTTGGCAGACAACAAAAAGTTAGATACAGAATATCTTCTAGTCGAGCATTCTCCACGTTTTTCGCTTACTTGGTTTTTTTTCTAAGGAGCTTATATTTCGATGCTTTTAATACATTTTATTTTGCATATTTTTGTATTATTTGTTTTATTTATGGGACTTGGGCGCTGATAAATGGCTCGGCCCTGTCCCGTGTCCGTTCTATCAACGTGTTGATGTGATTTTTTCTATGCAAATTATTTAAAGGAGGAGCCTGAGAGATCGATGTGGGTACCAAATTGATAGATGGTCTGTCCCACAGCAGCTGCCTGATGCTGTGCAGAATTATTAGACCTAATGGCTTGGCTAAGTGTTTACTTATTTTATATGTGGCAAGTGGAACATCACAGCTGCCAACTAATGCACTTCATTAAAACACGCTGCTTAAATGCAATCGATTGGCGCCTCTCGGCTATGCCAACACCCTATAAATGCCGCATACACAGCTTGATTTCTTAATCCCCAAAGCATTTTTCAATGTATAATCGCCAGCGGTACACAAAACATACGTTGCATGCAAAATTGCTCTTCAAAATTGTTGAACTAATTTAGCCAAATTTTGTCGGTCGACTGTTTAATGTTTGTTTTTGTGTAATTCGAAATGTTAAAGTGACGCCCGGTCGCCTGTTTACATTTGTTTTTCGGCTAACTTTCTGTGAAATGCAATTAAATTCAACTTGTTGGAACGCAGCATAATCCAGCCCCAGCTAGCGAACTTTTACGCCACGCTTCTGCCGCTCTCCCCTCTCCTTTTGCTTATTGGCCTTCTCGTCAGGCTCGACTACATTTCCATTTCGACTGCACAACTTTCGCAGTGTTTTATTTAATTGGCTGCAGCTTTCAATTGCATTTCAAATTGAACTCTAAAAGAAATGTATTTAGGCATACTTTAAAGCTCTCAATGAAACAGGCATCTTATTCTTATATTTCATTAGAAAATGTTGATATATTTGTGATTAAAGTTTAAAATTCTCATTTCTTTATTGGTTCTCTGACAATTGTTAAGCTTATTGTTTAACAAAGGGTTTAAAAAGTCTTCTCGCCTTTGCCATTAATATTTGCTTAAGGCAAGCTACTAAAATGGTCTGTTATGTGATTGACCCAGATAGCTACTTAAATGTGTCGCCATTCATCACTGTCTGCAATAAGCTATTGTGTTTTAGAGTCCATAATGCCTGCACTCAGGCAACTCTTCTCTTAACTCCTTGCTTTCAGCTTGCTAATGTTTCCAGGCTTTAAGCTCGCAGTAAGCACAGCATTATGTGCATCGGCTTTCCGATCATTTTCAATTACTTGTACCTCGCTGGCAAGTGCCTTGGATACCCTGCACTTATCAAATTTAAATCAAAGGGCATTCCAAAGATGTCCATGTGTGTGTAATTAACTAAAGGATCGAATTCCTAAAAGTATTTAAGTGTTCCAAAGAAATATTCAATGAGTTCCCAATAGAGATTCCCAGAGAAAGAAATCATAGCTAAATTTTCTTTATTAAGGTGCTAAACAACCTGATCACAGAGCAACTTATAGTCGTGATTTCCTGAATCATTCGAGCAATAGTCTTTGTCGTTAATTGCTTTATAATAGAATATATAAGTAAGAATGCAAAAGACGACTACGAAATACTCTGGTGGTTGAATGGAATATAATGCCAAGAATATTTTTTAACTCATTTTTAAGATGATTATTATTTCGATTAGTAATATTTGATGACAACATGACACAGGCTTATCTATTGAGTTCTCTGTTCGATTTGAATAGGTGAAGAGGCACACATGCTGACATCAGGCATACCCTGTTTGCCTGCAAAAATATGTTATAAGCGCTAATAGAAATAAAAGCTAATGTAATTACAAGCCGTGTTACACACTGTTGTCGCGAGTAGTTGCTTTGGCAAATGCGGCAGCTCTGCTCGAAATTAAATTCAACAGCTTGTTGCAAGCCCTGCTGCTGCATTGCGCATACGACGCGTTGGCCAACAGCAGGCTGGCTACCAACTGGCAACTGCCCGCGGCTGCTTAAAAGCTTTGCATTAACTATTAAACGCAACTCATATTGCATAATCTGCGGGAGGGGACGGTGGTGGTGCCTGCAGCAAATCCGAAACAAATAAAACTTTAAGTGTGCACGGGAAATTGGTGTCAGCATAGGAAGGCCCGCGGCCAGACACAGAACAACAAAAGCGAAATGCAAATAAACCTGCAACTAGTTTAGGGGCATGCACATTCCACATGCTTTTATGATTTGTGTCAATAAATTGAAGCCAATAAGGGCAAGGTTTTCGCTAAATAAAATTTCATTTATTTCAGCCCTCACACATTTAGCCAAAAGCAGCAGCGGCTCTCACCATGTCATGTTTGCCGTGCGCCATTTTAAAAAATTCATTCGTCGCACAAAACAAACAGCTTAGAAAGCAAACAAGCCATGGAAAGTTGCCTGCCAGCGGGACAGAGCTGTGGCAGTTGCCAAGCGCAATGCTATAAAATGCAATCAGCTGCAAAGAAAATGGGTTTTGCTTCACCTGCTACCAGGAAGCAGCCAACGTGCAACATGGAGAGACTGTCGGCAGCTCCTATGCGGATCCTTTGCCACTTGCATGGCATAAATTAGAGTGCAACAACAGGGCGCTGGCACGGGGCATATGCCTTGCCCGGGTCGGGCATATTGCGCAGCTCAGGATGCCAACTGTCCTTACGAATGCAGTCAAGCGCATCCATTAGATGCTCAAAAAAAAACTGACAACTTGTTGAAAATCATGATTATAAGCCACTTAATAGCGCTTATTGCCCACTTACCAGAACGGTTTCTTTTAAGCTTAAGAATATAGGTTTGGCCTCCAGAGGTCAAGCCGTCTCTAAATTGTCATCAATAATGAAATCAAATTCGATTCAGTTTTGGCCAGGTTATTTTAGTTTGAAGGCAATTGTTCGGTTTTTGGAAACCTTACATGTCAAGATTTTTGTCATATTGATATGATTTTTGACAAACCGTCGCTAAAATATATTTATTTGTCAGAATGGTTTTTAGTCATTCCATGACTTTGATTATTGATTATTATAGTTTATATTTGATATATATACATATATATACTTCAACTTTATTCTTTCTTTCAATGATTCTTGATTTTGCGGTTTTCTTCATGCTATCCGCTCTGCTCAACAAAGGATTAACTATCGATAATTCCTTATTCCTAGTAATCAACAAGTTTCTTATACTTCTATCTTATACTACTCTCCATCTGTATTTCAAGCAACATAATAAATTCCTCAATAAATGCTATTTTATTGAAAATGACCATCAAAACATTTAAACGTGCCCAAAAAGCCATCGATCATAAATATCAATTCATTTTAGCCAAAATGTTGACAATTTCTGGGATATCACTTAAAAACTTAAAGAAATATTTCATATCAAAATGTATGTCAATATTGAATTGATTTTATGACACAACATTTTTTGACGACCGCAAGCGATTAATAATAAAACTTTTAAAACGGATGCGCCTATAATTTTCGATAAAAATCTGTATATCTATGTCAATCAATCTCAATTTGCATTAATTACTAGACGATATCGACAAGCTTATGCTCATTCAAATCTAATATACTTTTCATTAGACTTGTTGTCAATGGAATCAGAGCAGGTTAATCAATTGATTTGGCTGCAAAATGCATTTAAATAAAAAAAAAGGAATTGGCATTTGAAATTGCATTTCATTTGATTTTTCATCAAAATCGGCACTGTTGTGCATAAAAGAATATTTGAAGTGAAACTTTCAATTGGCTCGGCAGTTTTCAAACTGTGCCTGGCCAACTATTGTTATATGAAATGCAATTGCTTTTCATGCGCTCAATTTTTGTGCATTTTGTGAATTGATAACGAAAGAATTTGATAAAGTCGCCTTTGTCATAGCGAACTTTATTAAAAACTCGAGGGTGTCGTGTGTCAGCCAGCTAATATTTTATTCATTTCGATTTTTCACACGAACCAATCAAAAATATTCACGCAAAATCCGCAATTTTAGCTATTGTATAAAATCGTTAAAGTGTGAAAATGGCTCAAAGTTATGCTATTGGCTTTCCACTTTTCTCGCTAAAAAGTCACAAAAAAATTGCATTCAATGCAGTCAAAAAAAACGTTTAGAATTTTATGTTTGCTTTAGCTACTTGCAAAAATTATGTTGAAATTAAAGATCTGTACTACACTGCGATATAGGCAAAAGAAAGTGTATTGCAGCTATTAGTTGGATTTCTTTTATTTATGTGGGGTTTTCATTTGATATAAAGTTATAAAAGCGATTCTTGTAATATTTAAAGGTACAAGATATCGGTTTAAATTATACGATCTAACGACATAGTTTCGCCATTTCAAAGCGATATAACTTCGCTAGAATAAAAGCGACATAATTCCGAAGGTAAATAAACTGGGCGGAGATAAGTCCGACGAATTGGTGTCAGGTCGTTCACATAAAATACAGCTAAGATCTTAAAAATAAAATATTAAATATATATATAAGACAGTCTCAAATAAAGTGTGTTCTGTCTCTTTTCTTCCATAGCAAATAAACAAACTTTATTTGTAATAATAACAGCTTATAATTAAAATAACTATTTTAAAAAATTATGTATCTTTAATATAAACACATATCTTAAATATGATGTATATGTGTGGATGCTAAAGGCCAAAAGTTACCTTGGCTTAATAGCTAACCAAAATTTCCACGATTTTCCCTGTGGCTGTCAACTGCCTTGCCATAGGCAGCTGCCAGTCAGAAGAAGTTTGTTAGCATCGTCAACGCTATCGTCTTTGGCTCTGCATACGATTATTACACCCACACGCACACGCACACGCACACACACCCATATCTGCATGCATAGACAAATAGTTAGACAGATAGACAGACCTCAAAGTTTTGGCCCGAAAAAGTTGCCAGCAAACGGCAAAAAGTTTTTAAGTAAACGCGCAGCGCAGTTGGCGAAAATGACGGCGGCTCGAATCCAGCCGCAGATCACAGACCACAAAAACTGAAAATCAAACTTTAACTTAATGAAAATGCAATATTTGGCTTAACAAGAATGAGCAACTATCTTTGACTTGCCGAAGATTTATTACTCTTGCAGACTTTTCATTAATATCTATTGGCATATTAATCGAGTTTTTATTAAATTGTGTAAAGCTTGTGTAAGCCTTTTGATAGGATTTGTTTCGAACTCATCCGATTATTTGGCTTTCAACATACGTTTATAATGCCATTTTTCATTTCATTTAAACATAGTCTTCATATCCCTTAGAAGAGTATCAAAACTTTTAAGGGCCTGCCGAAAATTTATGCATTGTGCAACAAATCAGACCAGAATATGGCATGTTGACACTGGAATTGAAACGAAGCAAGCCAAGGACTGATTATTTTACTTTATACCCCTATTTCAAATTCAGCATTAAATTAACGCAACCAAATTCTGATGGCGACCAAGCGCAGAAAACCTAGCAAGATTATAACTAAGAAGGCAAGTCAACATAAAGGCACAGCCCTTAAAGCTCCCAAACTATCCAAGTGCAAGCCACGCAGTCTTCACGAACTGAGCAGCTGGGAACTGCTTCGCTTCAGATCCGCGCTAAATGCAGCTGCCAACTTATGCGATCTGGATGAAAATCATATTACGAGCCGCAGCAAATCCAAATCGGCCAGGCTTCTGCGTTCCCAGAAGAGCCTCATCGATGATCCTGTTGGCTGCCGTTGCCTGGCTGTGGCATTGATTCTGCTCAACTTGCTGCACGGCAGCGAGTCCAATGGTGAACTAGAGCCACAATCAGACAATTTTGGGAGTGGGAAGGGTTCGTCAGAGGTACAAACTAAAGTGCAGTCGCCCAAACGCCGCAGAAGCTGTGCCAAACGCGCATCCGCTCATTCAGCGCACAGCAGAAAGAAAATTGGCGGCCATTTAAATGTTGATATCAATGAATAAATTCTTAAGAATTTAACTTATCCATGTTTTTCTTTAGCTTTATTATTTCTTTAAAATTATTTCAGTTTTTTCTTGCGTACCAACTTCAGGTATTTTCTGTTAGCTATATGAGGAAATTTAACAAAAGAAACAGTTGCTGCCATATCTAAATCATATACCCACGCTTTGTAAGCTTTATATATATACAAATATTTCAGAAATTTGCTTTGTGTTTATATTTTATTTATTTATTTTTTTTTTATGTATACTAGCAATAAATAAAGTATAAAGTATATTCAAATCTTATAATAGCATCAAACAATATAATAATACAACTATTTGGTATGAAGGCATATAATTATTATATAGGTGTGTGGGTAATTGTGTGTGTGTGTGTGTGTGTGTATGTGTTATGATCGTGTGTGTTAATGTTTGCTGTATGTATGTATGCATTTATGAATATATATTTTTTAATACCAAACGCAGACTTGTTTGTCGCTGTGCTGCAAATTTAAATAAAACGAATTTCTATTAAGTGCTCTCCTCCTCGATTCTCAAAAAATTAAGTAGGCCCTGCTGAAATTCAGCAAGGCAACGGCTAGTGGAGGAGCAACTTGAGGCGGTGGAGCAGGAGGAGGCGGATCGGTATGTAGTATGTATGTATGCCTGTGTGCATGTATGCATGTGTGTATGTATGTATGTATGCATGTATGCATGCATGTATGTAAGCATGAATGCATGCATGTATGTATGCATGTATGCATGAATGTATGCTTTTTTGCTTGCATACATGTTTGCTTGCATGTATGCTTGCATGTATGCTTGCATGTTTGCTTGCATGTATGCTTGCATGTATGCTTGCATGTTTGAATGCATTAATGTAAGGTTATATGTATATGTCTATATAGGATATTTAAGGGTACACTCTTCACATAAATTTCGACAAAAAATCGGGTTGCCAGATTTGGATGCCAAACTGTTCTATGCGCCAAAGCATTAACAAACAGACAATCCTTTTTAAAATCTGATAAGATTTGGTCGAGTTATGGAGGTGGGAAATTATGATCTATGTCTATATACTATTTTTGAGGGTACAATTTTCACATGAATTTCGACCAAAAATCAGTTTGCCAGATTTGGATGCCAAATTGTTCTGGAGGCCAAACAATTAACAAAAAGACAAACCTTTTGAAAATCTGAGGATTTTTGACCGAGTCATAGGGGTGGCAATTTTGACCTATGTCTATATTAGATATTTGATGGTACAATGTTCACATGAATTTCGACCCGGAATCGGGTCGCCAGATTTAGATGCCATATTGATCTAGAGGCCAAACCATTCACAAAAAGACAAACCTTTTGAAAATCGGTTGAGTTTTGACCGAGTTATGGGGGTGGGATAATTGGCCTATGTCTATATAGGATATTTGAGGGTACAAATTTAGCATGAATTTTGACCAAAAATTATGTTGCCAGATTTGGATGCAGAATTGATCTAGAGGCCAAACCATTCACAAAAAGACAAACCTTTTGAAAATCGGTTGAGTTTTGACCGAGTTATGGGGGTGGGATATTTGGCCTATGTCTATATAGGATATTTAAGGGTACCAATTTAGCATGAATTTTGACCAAAAATTATGTTGCCAAACTTGGATGCAGAATTGATCTAGAGGCCAAACTATTCACAAAAAGACAAACCTTTTGAAAATCGGTTGAGTTTTGACCGAGTTATGGGGGTGGGATATTTGGCCTATGTCTATATAGGATGTTTGAGGGTACCAATTGAGCATGAATTTTGACCAAAAATTATGTTGCCAGATTTGGATGCAGAATTGATCTAGGGGCCAAACCATTCACAAAAAGACAAACCTTTTGAAAATCGGTTGAGTTTTGACCGAGTTATGGGGGTGGGATATTTGGCCTATGTCTATATAGGATATTTGAGGGTACCAATTTAGCATGAATTTTGACCAAAAATTATGT